CTGTGGCACATGAGCCTTTTGGAGACATTTGAGATTCAAACCATAATATTGTTTGCTTCATCTATTTGGTGATTTTTATCCTTATAATGAAGTAATAAAGACAACTGGTTAAGATTATCTTAAAAGAATATCTTTCCAGAATATTGAGGGGATTTGATTTCTAAGTAGACTTCAGCAGCAACCATCCCACTACTATTTTTAACTAAGTTAAGAAATCAACTCATATTTATTGTTCTAGCTACTCAGAAGGCTAAGAACTGAAGATCCTGGTTCAAAGTCAGTTAAGATAAAAAGTCCATGAGACTCCTGTCTTCGGCTAACTATTCCTGCCACCCTCCCCCCCCACTCCCAACAAAGAAAAGCAAAAGCAACCAACAACAAAAACAACAAAAATAAAAGCAGAGCTGGACCCTGGTGGCTCACACCTGTAATCCTCACTACTTAGAAGACTGAGATCTGAGGATCCTGATTTGAAGCCAACCCGGTCAGGAAACTTTGTGAGACTCTTATTTTCAATTAACCACCAGAAAACCAAAAGTGGTGCTGTGGCTCAAAGTGTTAGATCACTAGCTTTGAGCAAAAAGAGCTCAGGAATAGGGCTCAGGCCTCAAGATCAGTCCCTATAACCAACAAAGATTATTATTATTATTATTGTTATTATTATTAATAAACAGAAGTGGAGCTGTGGCTCAAGTGGTAGAGTGTCAGCCTTGAGTGAAAAAGCTAAGGGACAGTGCCCAGGCCCTGAGTTCAAACCCCAGTACTGGCACAAAAGAAAGGAAAAAGAAAAAGAAAGAAGGAAGGAATGGAGAAAAGGAGATGGGAAGGGAATAAAATGAAAAGGAAAGGAGAAAACAATAGAAAACATAAATGGACAAAAGATGCTCTGAAGGATTTGTAAAAAGGGACAAGGAGAAGCCTTCTCCAGGGGCAATGGGCATCTTAATGGGAAGTCTGCAGAGGACTGGCATAAAGTATATATGCACCCTAAGGGCATAGTTTATAGTATTACAAAATTAAAGAGAAATAAATATAAAAAGTAAAACAGTAACAACAAGACAAAAAAAGTAAACAAATATCAAAAAGAAAAGTAATTTTTGTGTAGCAGGTTGGCCCTTCCAACCTGTAGCTTGCAGGTTGGCAGCTTCCTTCAGTATCACCACCTGTATTAATTACTCTATGTGGCTGTGACAATCTCACCATCATGAAGGATGTCTTTGGCTCACAGTTTCAGAGGGCAAGAGGCAGGGCTCCAGTGCCAGGAACAAATGTTAGAGCTTCTTTACCTCACTGTGGGTAGGAAAGGAAGGGAGGAGCTGGGAGGTATAGAGCCAAGAACAAAATACCCACAAGCCCATCTCAGTGACCTACTTTTTCAGGCCCCCAGAGCCTCACAAAATAGTGCCACCAGTGGGCTGGAGGATTAAGCCTCAGACATACGAGCCTTCTGGGAGAACATTTTATGCCCAAACACTGCCCATTTAAGAATTCACCAAATCAGAGTCACTCAAAGTGAAGCTCTCCTCAGCCCTACCCCCACGTCCTTGCATGAATACCATGATTGCAGATTCCTGGGCCCAGTGAAGGCTTTAAGATGACTTTCCCTTTAGGGAATCCAACCGTATAAGCTGTCTGTGACGTGCCATCCAGTTGCTTGCTGCTCACCCCACTCAGTCAGTCTCAGGCCTTCGGTGGGAGCCTAGGAACCGGGAAAGAAGTCTTTATCTGTTTTAGTAATCTCCAGTACCAGGCAGATCTGCTTGTGTTCAGTGAAGGCTGGAGAAATAACTGAATGTAATGTACAGACCTGAAGAATTGCTTCCCATCTAAGGCCCCTTGTTATGATTCTATTCAGGGCTGATCTTCAGTGGGTAAGTATTAATTAGACTATCAGTTTGTCGAGATATGAAAAAAATTCCTCCTTTGAGGACACTCAAATAACTACTGCTTTGATTTCTTTGGATGTACCCTTTCATGATCCAGCAGTTGAAGGGTTCATCTCTGGTCTACCTGAGGAGTGTTGTATTTTCATTGATCAATTAAAGTTCTGGTCAGCTCCTCATAGTTTTAACTTCCCTGGTATCAGTAATGCTACCACCAGGGCTGGCTTGTGGGGTAGTGAAAGATCTTAGCTAATTTACCTTGATTCTGTTCATATGAGTCCTTGTCTCCAGTTCTCATCAGAGACTTGGAAGTGAGATGGAATTCCTTGCGGTAGCACCCCAGGGGGCAAATGCTTCAGGCTATAGCCCCCACCAGTTGAGGTATCCCTAGAGATTCCCCTCGCATGGTGGCTCCTCCCAGCTACAGCCTCCATGGTACTTTGGCTCTGAGAAATACTGAAAGAGAGGCAGAAATGTGGGTCACCAACCTGAGGGCCCTGCTGGCAGCATCTGACAGATGACAGGGTGCTAGGTGCCAGTGATGTATGTGGAGGCCAGTGTGGGCTGCCCTGTGGATAAGATGGGGCAAAGATTTCCTTTCCAATTATTTGGTTAAGTTTGCTAACATGACTGAATGCCCACCTATCACAGCATTGGCCACAGTGTCTCCTTAATACAAAGAAAGGTAAATGCTTACATAGTATGCTTGTCTGGTGCCAAGTACATTTGTTAATGCCAGTGGTATATATAACTCTTTTAGTTACTATAATTATCCTCATTATCTCCATTAGAAATTTGGACAGTATTTGCTTGAAAACTCCTATCAATGTGCTTCTCTTTGGAGAATACTGTGTGTCAAATGTTCCAAATATGATTAGCTACTTACAGGTATAAAAATCATTGATTATTATCCTGGTTTTGCTTATTTAACTCTCTATTTCTTTGGTCCACACCAGTTACCGAGAAGGGGGGTGGGTGGGAGAAAAAGTTCTCAGCCTGAGCTCTGCTGTGTTGAGCTTTCTCCCCTTTTCCTTAAGTTGGGACCTTCATGAGCTCACACTTTTCCTTTGAAGGAAAGGGGGTTAGACACGTGCTTTCGCTGGGAAGGGCTGAACTGGTCAGTGGGTTGGAATGTGGGCACAGAAGTTGGTTCAAGTTGGAATACTGCAGGAAAACTGAATTGTCCTCTTAAAGGTTTTATTGGTTAGTGGTTAAGAATCAGGTTATGATTGGAGCGGAGTCTTTTTTAAAAAACAAAAACAAAAAGATTTCCTTTAGAGCTCTTCATGGAAAAGAACAAGTAGGAAAGGCATTGTGGAGTTCTGAGTAAGGCTGTGGCGCACAGGCAGCCATCAGTCTCTGTGAAGGGTAGGACCCTGAAACACTTTCAGAAAGAAATGGAAAGCACTTCCATTCAGTATGTCAAAACCAGCACAGAAAGACTTGACAATCTAGGCAAAGCATTGGAATTTGTAGCCAGTCCAGTCTTGATCCTCTGGCAAACTGCAAAGTCACATGCACTGGGATGTGAGGCACTATATAAATGTCAGAGTTACATAAATGTCAAGAATGATGATTGTTTGTTAATGGGGGCTAAACTGTTTCTAAGCAAAGCCCCAAACTACCTGGCCAGGAGATTCTAACCACCAATAACCCGCAAGAAGGGGATGTTCACCCTGGTTCTCTGAAGGAGCCCAGATGGGAATGGTTGTTGAAAACAGGCTGGTGTGACTGCAATACCATCACCTGTGTTCTCCACTGGTGATCCTGGGCCAGCTCCCTAGCTTTCTAGAGCCTGTCCTAGCTCACCTGTACAACAGGGATAATTATAACACCGTCCTGGCCTACTTCTGATTGCTCCAGGATTGTGTGAAACAAGGGAGCTCAAGCGTGGTGCTTTCCCAACTGAGCCTCTGCAAGGATGACAGTGGCCATTAGAACCGACTGGAAGTTTGTCGGTATCTTCCCTTTGAGTGCTGCTACCCCCATCAAGAACTTTTGACCGGCAATTAAGCTGAGGGTGGCAGCGATGGTGATTAGCCCATGCTTACAATGTTCAGGCTTCCATCCTACAGACCAGGCGGCCAGGCCAGAGCCTGCCTTCTGGCCGTGGCTCTGCCTCTTCCCAGCGGTGAGCTTGGGCCATAACCCAGGAGGATCTGGAAGTGATGGCCAAGGGCCCTTCTGGCTCTGACGCTGAATCTAAATCAGGCTCATCACTTGGCTTTGGCTGAGATTCACCTTTTGCCTTCAGGAGAGATTCTCCCTACAGCTGCTCAGGCGCTCGAAAGGGGCAACTTGAAAGGGGTAGGGGTGGAGGGAGGGGCAATGTTCTCCAAGCGAATGTGTGCACAATAAGGAAGCAATTGCCCTGGAGGTGAAGGGGGATGGGGACGGGGGGGGGGGGCGGTGAAGACAGGGTGGCTCAGAGAAGCCAGCACGCAGCAGAAAACACTGCAATGAGGTCATGACGGTCGCAGGCGAGAGGAGCTGGACATCTTCTGATCGGGGGAGGGGCGGGGGTAGCTGGACATCTTCTGATCGGGGGAGGGGTGGGGGAGCTGGACATCTTCTGATGGGGGAGGGGCGGGGGAGCTGGACATCTTCTGATCGGGGGAGGGGCGGGAATGCCCTGCATTTCTACCAGCCGAGCCGAGTAAACTCTCTTCCCCTGAACTTCAGCATCCCCCCCACATCCCCCACCCCACGCCCCACACCTAGATCCTAACACCTTACAGACCCTCCCAGAGCCTCCTGGCGAGAGAGCCTGTGTCCGCGCTTGCTGCGTGGTCCGGGCTGAACTGTTTCCAGGCTGACTCACACCACTCATGTCAGGGAGCCGTGTCACACGGCGCTGGGCTCTGCAAGCTGTTGCTTGCGCGGTCGCCGCCGCCGCCGCCGCCGCCGCTGCGCTCCCCGGCCCGGGTGCACCAGGGTCCGCTGGAGAGGCGGGGCCGGGGTGGGGCCTGGGCGGGGCCCGCCCCCGCGGCGTGACGGCCCCGCCCTCCCGCCCTCCTCCCCCGCGGACCGCAATGATTTAGAAGTTCAGGAATCCCACGTGACGTCACCGGGGGGGTGATGTAATGCACTCTAAATAGAAGGTATTGTAATCTTTGCTCAGTCCAACGTGGTCCCTTCACCCGGGCTCCGCTCTGGCCTTCTCCACACTTGTTTGGTAAGTTCCTAAAAATACGGCTCGGCCACTTCTGGGGCGTTTGCATTTAGCCACTTTTCGTTGCACTTGCCGCGGGGAGCCGTCTCGGGAGCGTGTGCTGGTCTGCAGGGGTTGGTTCTCGGCGGCAGCCGCGAGGTTACTTGGTCCAATGGGCAGGTCACAGGGCCAGGAGTCGGGAAGATGTGATGCATTCTTTCGGAGAGTGATCTGTGTTTGTAAACATTCTGGCGGACCCGAGAGGAAGTCCGGCCCCAATCGCTGGTGGACTGTGGAGTTGTGCCGTGTCCCGTGGCCACCTAGAGAGACCCCCCCCTTCCCCCCTCCACCCTCTCCCCCCTCCCCGCCCCACGCCGTGTCCGTCTCGGAGCGCGTCTCGGCGGCCGCTGCGCCGTGCGCCTGCCGGGGATGCTAGCCGGAGCCCGCGCCGTGTCCGCCCCAGCGTGCGTGCGTGTGTGGGAGCGCGCGTGTTTCCCTACACGGGGGGAACCGTTATGAATCGGGGGTGTGTGTTTGCCTCCAGAGACCTGGCAAGGTGCGGAACCCTCCAGAAGTGTGGTCAAGCAGCAGCGGCGGCGGCGGCGGCGGCGGCGGCGGCCACGGAGATGCTGAGTGCGGAGCCTGCTCCCCGCGTGCCCCAGCTTCCCAGGGATGCGGCGGCGGAACCCCCGGAGAAAGTTTGCAAACTTCCAGCGGGCGCTGGCTGCGAGGACGCCGCCGGGCCACCCGGGGTGGGGGGCCGGCCGGGGCGAGGGCGGCTCGCTCGCTCGCTCGCTCCGGGCGCCGCGCCCGCCAGGCTGCCGGCCCGAGTCCGCGCGCCCGCCGCGGGAGGGGAGGTCGCCCTTGGAGGGTACTTGACTTTCGCTCCCGGCGCTTCCAGCCCGGCGTCCACTCCTCCCACCGCCTCCCGCCCGCGGCCCGGGCCCTTTCTCACTGCCGTCCTTACCTCTTCCTCGCCGATGCCCCGAATTGACAGCGTGGGCTGGAGCCTCCGCTCTGGGCACCCAGCGCGGCGGGAACCTTGCCTTCCCCGGCCCGGCTCTCCACCACCGAACCGCCTCAACTTTCCACCAAGTTCTCAGAGGAAGAACCAAGGAGATGTTTTCTCTCGGGGGGACTGCATCCCGCTCCTTCTTGGCTATAGGTTGATTCCCAAGAGAACGGGGTGGGGGGGTGTGTCTGGTTAAATTAAGACCCCTCCCCAACTTGCCCTAAACGAGTGCCACCCCCGTCCCCACCCCATCTGACGCTAGTTCCAGGCTCCGAATTGGCTTGGGCTGCTTGTATGTAGTTCGTTGTCAGAGCCTACGGACTCCAGTGGATTTTTTTTTTCTTTTTAATTTTCCCTCTCTCTTGCTCTGTGTCAAGGAATAAAGGCTGGATACTGGTTCATTACGTCATTCTGCAGGCCAGTAAGTGTTTGATTAACGGCTTCGGATACTCAAGGGTTCAGGGGCTTAGAATGCTGACAAAGCAACTCTGCTTTCAACCTCCACCCCCACCCCAATAGGCTCGTGCAATCGCCCCACCGTTCCCTGGGCATCTCTCTTGCCCTCTCTTCCCTTGACCCCCTCCTTCTCCACCCCTCCTCCGCCCACGTCGTTATCTCTTTAGGTCGTTCCCTGCCTTTTACAGCGTTCCCTGGGGGCGGACACTGTCCCTGGAGTGTGGGTAAGAGCTTCTGGTGCCTGAGGGGTCCTTGGCACCTGATCAGCGTGCAATCTGCCCTTTTCTATAATTTAGGAAAGGCACAAGCAAGCCCACTCCCCCCCCCTTAATGTTCAGCCACCCCCAAAAAGGCACCTTTAGGGGATGTTTAAAAGCCTTAGGCTAATTCCGTGTCCCTGCGGTGACTTGGGAAAGTAATATACCCACAGCGAACGCAAGTACTTTACACAGCGCCTGCCTGGAACCGTGTAGCCGGAGAGGGAAAAACTAAAGAGGAGCTGACTAACTCAAGTTTGGCTGGAAGGATCAAAATTAGATGTTTTATCTCAAAGTGAGTGGATGTGAGGCGTTGAACTCAAAAGTACCTTCCAATAAATTGCTGCGTGTGTTACTTTCTTGCTCTTAGCTTTTAAGTTTAGAGAGGAAGTTATCTACAGGCGTCATTGAATTAAATCACAACCTCTATCTGGCAGTTTAAATGAAACCCCTGTTTGTGACATTTAAGGGATACAAATAAAAAGAACTCTGGGGAATAAGGGGAGTATGCAGCAAAAATCAAATAAAAATTTTACTAACAGGCTTTTGGGTAGAGGAGGACAGGGGACTGGAGCGCTTTCTGATTTGGAGCTGGGAAAGCTAAATAAAAGCAAGTTTATAGTTTAAATAGATGGGAACTACTTGAAGAACTCATGTTTTTGTTATGATCAGGTCTGGTCTACTTTCTTTAGAGTGAAAGCCAGGCTGTAGGGTAGACATTTGTGAAACTCCTGTCTGGAGTCTAATTGACATCCCTTCCCCCAAGTTTGTGGCAGTATTTATTATTTGTTCACATCTAGAGATGAAATAGTATAACCCTATTCACAATAGGTGTGCATCGAAAATGTTAAACTTCTTGTTTGTGATGCAAGAGACCTAAAGGAAAAATGGCCTGGGTCATGGGCCCTGGAGAGTGTGATTAATGATAAGTGATTTAGTGATCAGTGATTAGTGGTTTTATTCAAACTGTTACCTCTGACCAGAAGCACACATCAGAGGATTAACAGGCTCTTTAGATAAATGCTCATTAGTGGAAGGGGAAAAGCAAAGATAATAGGCATGCACCCAGGGACAACTTTCGAAGAAAATCATTCCCGTCTTCAGAATAATAAGCTCTATTAACAGAAAGCCCTTTTAATTTAAAACTTGCTTTTATCTTGTAAATCAAAGTTAGATGTAAAAGTTTGTAGTGCCATTATTACCTAAATTTTCCCATATCCACTAGATGTGGATTATCTCAGTAGCGATATTTTTTTTATTTAAATAAACAATTGGACCTTTAGAGCAGCTGAACTCTGACAAGCTCTTAGCTCCCAGGGTTTGAAGGTGTCCCCCCTTCTAGGACGGAGACTGCAGCTTGCTAACTAGATGGCGCACTGTGTTGGTGTTCAGTGCTGTGTAGTGCAGGAGTATAAACTGAGCATGTAGCTGCTTGCGAGGTGTTCCTCAACACTTACAACAAAGTTGATTCTGTGTAGGGTTGGAGGCTAGACAGTTCTACAAGTTTTTAGTCACATTTTCCATGTCAGTTAAGTCTTGGGAGTTCAAGGCTACTGGAAAAATTAGTCTCATTACTAAAAGAAACGAGGGAGGGAAGGAGGTACAAAGAGTCCAGGAGGTATCTTTGGTTTGCAGAAGTGACTGTAAAATACCAGACCTGGTCTTTTTGTGTTGTGTTTTTCTAAGACTAGTTTCACGATCTAGTCTGAAATAACTGAGACAAATACTCAAAAGATTTATTTTTCTTCCTAATCTTGCTGGGGAAAAGAAGTTACTAGAAAGTAAGGAAGAAAAAAAATCTGATCTGGTGACTGCAGGAGGCAACACGTTGCTGATTTTATTCTACAATGGTAAGATGCTGTTCATTATGCTTCTGAAGCAGAGAAGAAACTTTATACCTGGTTAAGTGGGACTCATCTTGTAGTTTTATGGAATTTGGAAATGGATTTCTTATTCTGGGAGTTTTATTGTTGCTTTGGTTAGTTTCCTAGGACTGATAGCATTTCACATGAAAATCTTGTGTGTGTGAGTGTGAGTGTGTGAGTGTGTGTGTGTGTGTGTGTGTGTGTGTGTGTGTATAAAGACCCTTCTTTCTGGTAAAATATGTTTGTGAGCATATGGGCTGCAGCAGGGAGTTATTTTGATGTGTCAGGTAAGAACTCCTTCCTATGAGCTCTCATGGATCACTTCAATGAGTACTTACTTGAGTTTTAGTAAGGAGTTTTTATAAAAAGAAATCTATAGGCTAAAGCAAAGCATAACAGAAGACTTAGATATGTGCTTCCTTGAAGGAGAATGCTATTAGTTGAAGATCAACTATCACATTAGTTTTAAAACTTAGGAAACAATAAAAGAATTCTCTGTGGCTCCCCATAAACATTACTTCTTTTGCATGTGGTATTTTAGATAGATAGCAAATTTTAAGTTCTTACTGATTCATATAAAATTTTAATTTTCAAGTCTGCTGAGAATAGACTTGTTTGTTCAATTGATAACTAGCTTCAAGCCAACTGTTTTTAATGTAAATCAGTGTTATCCATAAGTTAACCTGTTCAAGCAGAAGTCTGCTGTAACCTTATATAGATTATAGCTGAACAGTATATAAGAATGTACCACATGCAAGTAGAAAGCATATTTCAATTTCTATATCTCTGTGAAGTTGCAGTTTTTGTTCATTCCGTGGTTGAAGAAATTGCAGTTTGTCAGACAGACTTTTGTGTCACTTTTCACTTATAATAAGTATGATAATTTCCTAATAACTATTTGTCAGTTTCCTACACCTGCATTGAAAACCAACCAAAGAGTTTACATGGTGGTTTGTACTGATGTCAATCAAGTCTCCAATCTCGAAATTTCCTTCTATAATTTATATTTTAGCAACAGAACTTCATTAGACTACAGCATTTCCTTAGCTTTGGAGTTTTTTTAAGCTCAAAAGTATTTGATGGGACTGTGACCACAACTGGATCCCTATGGTTGGTTCTTCTGGTAATTTTGTTAGATTAAAACTGGGATTAAAGTGACATTCTTTTTAACATCTTTTATTTTTTCTTCTTCTTCACTTCAAAGCAATGCTGTTAGTCATGAAATTAATGTGATCATGGCTGGTGTTTCCCATCTATATGCTTCTTTTCCTCCTTACAAATTGGATTTCTACAGCAATTTAAGATCTTTTTTTAGAGGCAGATTTCTTGGATGAAGAGGGAACAATGATCTCAGTCAATTCATTATCTTGTCCAGTTTGACTACTGGCTGCATTATGGGAATCCACCAAAGCTTTTTATAAATTAGTGTTTAAA